CTGTTTCGTTCTCGGATTTTTGCTCCTTATTTGTCATTGTAATTCTTGCAATTCCAGATGTTTCTGTTCGGACCTTTGTTGCTGTTCAAATTGGATTTTGATAAGTTCCATAATGGTTGACTTAAAATCTTCCATGTTAACGTATTTTTTTTTTTTTTTTTTTGTGTGTATGTTTAACCTATTCTGTTATTTGTTGCCTGTGCACGCAACAAAAAAAAAAAACTTTCCTTTGTTGTCAATGAAAATTTGATATAAAAAAAAGAATTTTTTTCTTTTTTTTAGAATTAGTTTCGTATTAACATTTTAGGACTTCCTCGTCGCCACTTGTTATGCGCGACGGATAGCAAAAAAAAGGTATATCCTCCGCGTAGAGAATTAGTTTCCTCGTCACCACTTGTTATACTGTGGCGAACAATTTTTTTTTTCTTCCACCAAATAAATTCGAATCTTCGTCGCCACTTGTTATGGTCCGGTTCCTTGTACCACGGTGATAGTCCAAGGTAGAACCAATAAAGAAGAACTCGAACACAGGTATGGAATAACACAGATATATTACAAAAAGAAATATATACAGAGAAGTAGACGTGTTAGTATGAACAATCAGGTTTAGTAGAGAGAACAATGTAGTCTCGACCAGTATCACTATTCCAATGTCTTGCAGTAATTGTCTGAACGCGACTCTGTTTCGGACTGCCTCTGACTCGACTCTTGACTCGACTTGAGCGACTGACGATATTCAGTCACCCCCCATGAGGGTGTCATGTGGCACAAGGCTTTTTTAACGTGGGATCTCCGAGCCCGTGGGCTCGGCCAAAAATATGCCCATTGAACCCGTATAAACGGGTTCAGGGTCGATTTACCTCCGCGAACGAGACTGCGCCCTTCGGCGTAGCCTCGTTCGGGTTCCTCCTCGCCCGAAGGCAGAGAGTTCAACCGAACAGCCGGTCAGGACTTGAACTACTGAGGCGCAGTATTTATTAAGTATGGAATAGTCCATTATTATTATTATGGGTAAGATCCCATAACACTATTCAACCGGAACATGGCACAAGGCCGCGTTACAAGTGGGAATCCAACGCATGTGTAGTGGTAAAAATCGCTCCTCTTTTGCTGGCACTTCGTTTTGTGGACATCCTGATATTTCATTTTTAAGTACATTTGTTGCCTCGAGTATAATATACTTATTTTTATCCCGACGACGGATGAAAACAAAAAAGCCTGAGAAGCATACGACAATAATTTCAAAAACTTTTCAACAAGTTGCAAAAGATAATGCAACAGCAACAATTTCATTGTTGCTTTTTTTTTATTTATTAAACTTGTGAGTTTCTCTGATGGTCTTTTTTCCATCATTTGATCGCGGTAGAAAAGATAAAAATTGAACAAATAAATTGCACAGGAATTAACAGACATTCTGAAACTGCATCGTTATGTTCACTTGCCTTTTTATGTCATTTCTACTGAGAACGTTGGCAGTTATGACTCTCCACGTGTTCCTTTTCTTTATTCATTGCAAGGAAAACTGTCATGACTTCTTGAGAAAGATGGTTGCCACCTAATCCTAGAGAATCCAGTCTACCCTACTATTTAACCCCATAGTTAGTGGGTGTCACTACTTACACGCCAAAATAATTCCATTTCGGAAACGTCTCATTCCTTGCTATGCAAAACGTTCTTTTTTTTTTAGATAATCATCAAAACATATGGTAAAAAATGTTCTGACAATTAATGTGATATATCCGCACACACCCACATGCACAAAGAGAAGCAAACATACACATATATATATGATACAGCCTCACACATGCACAAAGAGAAACGCACACACATACACACACACACACACATACACACATATATATATATATATATATATATATATATATGAAACAGCCTCGCACATGCAAATACACACACAGAGGAAACACACAAACATCCATTTTATTGTCCTAATTATGTACAATAATGGATCATATGCAATATAGGTGAACAATTGAACTAGAAAAATTGAAAATAAATACATTGTATCTAAATACAAAAGAGACATGTCATAACAGATTATTTTGCCTTAAATAAATCAACAATGTTTTGTGACAATTTTAACATCAACTTCAGTTTTTTTGTTGTTTTTTACTTGTTAAAAAAATTGAATACGTTTAACACATTCAACATTATGGATAAAAATTAGTTAATTTTATATCGTGTTTTTTAAAATTTATAGTAATTACATTCTCCCAATTTGTAGTAAAGTCTGTGTGTATGTGTGTGTGTTTGCGCACGCGTGTGTGTGTGTGTGTGGCTTTCTTAAATACTTGGAGATCTTTATTCAGGTGACAGAACTCGGGGTGCTGGCTGGACAACAGGTAAATGGGACACTTTTTAGCTCTGAAAGCTTCCCTACCAGAATCGGATATATGAAAGATCGAATACTAACAACAAATTATTATTAGCCTTTTAATAACTCTCCTATAATGTTAGTAAATAAAAATTGAAAAAAAAAAAGAAATAAACAAAAAATGTTTTTATTTCCAAGCTAATTTCACTCAGGTCAAAATCTAATTTGATGCCGGTCAAAATCTAATTTCACTCAGGTCAAAATCTAAATTCACTCAGGTCGAAATCTAAATTCACTCAGATAAAAATCAAATTTTCACTCAGGTAAGAATCGAGAAAACAAAAATGCATTAAAAGGATGATTTATTTCATAGGAAAATCATCTATAATTTAAAACACTGTTCGAATTGTATATCAGACGTAAATTTAATCAAATTACAAGAGAAAACCAGTCATTTGAGTAGATTTAATGTTCTCTTGGTGAAACCAATTTGGAATCAGTTTTGTGCAAGTAATATAAAAATAAAATGTATGCCATGAAATTTTATGACGTCTTCCAAAAGATGTCATTTTATTTAAAAAAAAAAAAAAAAAAAAGCAAACTAAAAGAAGCTTTGGATGAACCGATAGGAAGTGACTTTTGTGACGAATATAGAATTTTATCAAGCAGATGAATCCCGTTCTTTGAACACTGAATTCTTGCGATCAAAACTAACTTAAAAGTACAAACCGTGTCGCAATTCCATGTTTCCCTGAAGTAGTAAAAATACTTAAGGACTGCTTAGTAACAACATTGCTTCTTTATGCAACAGGTCCCGATTCAATTTTAAGACCAAAATGTCCTAAAACTTGTTAATAACAGCACTATTCAAATGATATGAACAGACTTCAATTCGAAACGATGTTGGCATGACGTAGCTTATCTGGTAAAAACGTTGGTATGACGTAGGTTATTTAGTAACGACATTGGTATTCCTCTTTTTTTTTCGACTGGAAAGGGACATCCCTGGTCTTATCTATATTAATCAAATGAATGGTATGTGTTAAAATTCACAATACCTCATTCTTTCCAAACGTCAAGTGAGTATGAATAGATAAAAAAAAAATCGATCTCTATCTTTATTTTGAATTGTTATGCAATCTTTTAAATCGTGGTTCAATCTTGGTTCTGTTTTTATTTGACCAAATATTATTTTTCAATGAAAGACATACTTAAAACCGATCCATTTTTTGTTTTTGTTTTTGTTTTTTTCTAATCTCTAAACTCAGGTGTTTGCTCACCTGAATGGAAGAAGCCGCTTGGAAGAAGGAAGGATAAAGCGTACGATTTTTACTTTCATTGAATCTTATTGATCGCATAAAAGCGTCAGGATGCATCAATGCCTTTTCTTGCAGAAGTTCTAGCTGATCACGATAGATTTTCTTATAACAAGATGAAATTTTAAAAGTATATTACAATTGATTTGCATTCATACAAGTAACAGTCATGAAAATGTATTTAATTTATTTAATTCTTTTTATTGCTTTTAGTAAAAAAATTTTTTAAAAGTCTGTTTAATTTCCGTTCAATGTGTACTGTACGCAGTTTTCATTTTCTACAAGAATAGGTCTGGGATTGCAGCAACCGCTACTAATTCTGTCAACACAAAGTGGTTGCAGCAGGTGTAGCGTATACTCCGATTTGAGCAAGCTAGTGTTGTAGACTCACGGAATCTTTAAAGGTTAATGACTAACTTTATCGTTTGTTTTTTTTTACCTGTTTGAGGTAAAAAAAAAACAAAAAAAAACTTAAAATAAGTAAAAGCATTTTATCTCTTCTTTTGCATCGAATTTTACAATGAGCACTATATATATATATATATATATATATATATATATATATATATATATATATATATATATATATATATATATATTACTTGAAACTCAAACAAATAACAGGAAATATAGATTATTAAAGTGATATATGCCATAAGAGAAACAGTAGTAAATTTTTTACAAATTTTTGTGAATGGTTGGTAAAACATTTTCATTCTTAAATGAAAACTGAAACATTTCAAATAATTTTTTAAAAAAAGAGTCAGACATTTTTTATGGGATATGCCACGGCAATGTAAATTGAAAACATCTACGTACCCCAGCAATATATAATCTTTAAATTACATTTATTTCGGGGGATAAGGCTCTTTAATTGGAAACTTTTTATGAGGCGCCGCGTTGGTGAAGCTCGTTAAGAAAGAGAAGAGCTTTCTTTATTAATTTTATTTTTAGTCCATCGCTTTCTTGTGCTTGCAAAATGTTAATTACCCTAGTGCAGTTTTATAACCACAAACAGAACAGCATTTATTTTTTGTTGCATACGGTGTTACAGAGAGGGTAGATAATTTCGGTATCTTCTACGTCCCAAACCAAACCCCGAAAACTCCAAGACAAGGAGGAGAAAAAATTCAAAATAACCGTTTTTTCAGTTAAAGACAATTCATTTGTAAATTAACGCAATTATAGTGGAGGTTAAGAGACCAAAGGTTACGTCCCGGATAACCCCTAACGCTAAAGCACGTTTAAATCTCACAAAAATGAATTTAAAAAAAATCTTGACAGGTTAAGAAGAAATTAATTTATAATCTGCGAAATAATAAATTCTCTATAAATAAATAAATGCCGTGATGACGCATGCGTCAACTTTAAACGGTATCTCTCTCCTTGGTGGAACACTGCTTGTATCTCTTTTGTTGCTAGCGGGCTACGAAAACATTAGCAACTTCTGCAACTACTATCTCTGCTAGTACCATAACTTCCACTGCCATGAGTACAATTAGAAACTATATCTAAGTAGTAGTACTACCCTATGGTCGATAGTAACTGTATCTGCTATCATATTACAAATCAATCAGAGTTACAACCGAAAAAAGGGATTACTACGATTTTCTATCTCAGTCTTAAATTCTAGTTGTTTTTTTTTTTAATCATTTCACCCCAAGCAAGGCAATAAAGCCACTAAGACAGAAGAGGTTATTCAGTGTTGGATAATATGAGAAAAAAACACTATTCAGGAGAGAGGGAACATAGGAAAACAGGCGATAACGATTGACATTACATTTCGATTTTTGAAGATCAATGTTCACCATTACAAATAGGATTATAGGAAATTATAAAACTTTTTTTTGTCATCATCATCATCTATGCGTCGTATCCGTTCATAACATGTGCGATCATGGCTCTCCACAAATTAAACGACGTTTGACTCCTTCCCTGCTCTGTCATCCATTCATAAAAGAGGCTTGCGGCCATATCTCGTTAACACACCAGTTCTCGTCCGATCACTGAGGTTAAGTAACATTGAGCCTAGTCAATACCTAGATGTGTGACCGCTTGGGAATACCAGGTGTTGTAAGCTTGGATGTGCGGGTAGTGTAAGGGATAACGACTCGGAATTGGAAATCGGAGAGCCATGTTCGAATTCCAGTCGGGTCTGTTATATTCACTTACGTGCAATAACCCCTGGGAAAAGGTATGAACTCCCCTCTTCTACCCCCAACAATGGGTTTAATAGTACGACGTGTACCAGAAAATCATTACGTACTCAAAAGAATTCTTACAATCCAAAAATATAATCCGTAAAAAAAAAAAAATAATCAATCAACCATTCACACAAACACATTAAGTATGTTACATGCTGATATCTGATAGCCCTCTTTACATGAGCATTGATCTTGCTAAGCTGTCCTTTCTCATCTTTCTAGTTTTGATTTTCGTTAAAACTTCCTCGTTGCTCATATGTTCAGTTCATGGTATTCTCATAATGTGTCTATAAAAGCGTAACTTAGTCGCTTGGCGCCTCTTAGTTTCAAAGAGATTTTCCAGCATTCACTGCCAAATAGGATAGACGTGACAGTTTAGCACACTCTTCTTCATTACTAATTGGGAAAAAATTATGAGAAAGTGAAAAATGTTGTCTTGTAACGCATTTCGTCCTTTAGGACAACATCCGATCAAATTTGTTATGTTGGTGCCACTACACATGCGCACGAACGATGCTGGAAAATTTTAATTTTATCTTTTTTTTTTTTTTTTTAATCTGACTGATTTCATTTAGATTCTTTTTCTTTTAATCACTTTTGTTAGTAGGTTTGATTAAAGTAGCATTTTTATGTCAAAATGTGGCCAGTCTCTTTGCGGTGTGCTAACAACGCATTTGGTGTATTATTTTGTAAAATGCCCCTTTTAGGTTCATATAATCTTTTTTTAGATTCAGTGAGGTTTCTCCCATGTATTTTTGTGGCAATTATTACAGGCGATCGAGTAAATTCCCCCTTCAAGTTTTAGTTTATTGTTTTGTTTAGTATTGACTACGTCTTTTATTGTTTTGTATTTACTAGTAACTCATTTTATGTTGAGTATAGATAGATTCTCTCCAATTGTAGATGTGACAGAGTTAGTTGGTAGGACTAATGAAATGCTATAATTTTTTAGTATTTTGCTTAGTTTCTGAAAAACATTTTTCGCTATTCGGATGAGCCTTCAGATCTGTGTCAAGCTTTCCATCTTCTGGGTGCAACAAATGTTTTTGTCAGCACCATCTTTATCTCGTATCTAAAAAATTAATTTCTTCTTTGCTGATCACTTCCTTTATGACAATGGCGCTGATGACTAAATTCGCCACCAACATACAGGTTTAGCACGAGAAGCTTCCAGTTTCACCAAAACCTGCTCCAGTCATCCATTTCCTATTGCCGAGTTGGTTGGAGATGAAACAAAATCAGAGTAGAAAAAATGACAATGGCGTGAATTTATTTAAGGAGGACCTTATTTGCGCGGAAGTAACCCGCGCACTTGATTTCATGGCCTTCCTCTGCGGCACATATGGAATGAGACATGCAGAATCGAGTTATGAAACTGCAACGGACTCTGAGTCAGAAGCGCTTTTGAACTTTACCGAAACTGGAAAGTGAAGAATGGGGAAGCTCCTGTCCATATATGGCAACAGTACTCTAATTTTGGCCTGATCTGACTCTTGTAAAGGTAGAAGATAGCAGGAAGAATCAGGTACTTCCTGGAGCGGTAATGGGAACTGGCCATTTTCCAGCATCTTTAGCGATGAATCATGTGTTCGAGTTCTACTAGAGGTCACAGTTGAGCTTAAGTACTAATATGTGCTCAAGGCATGGGACCGGCCTCCCTCAGAGAACACCTGGACATCGCGATAAGCGAAAGTACCGTGTGCGCTCGGTGATAATGGAACGTCACTAGGTTGGTTTTCACATCATATTTTTCGCCAGTTTTTCTGCCATTAAGCTATATTAGATTTAGGTCAGATGAGAGATCATCTGACAGGATTAGTTTCAACATAAGTACAGAGTACCTAGTGACGAACAAACTCAGAATTATACACAAGGGCAGTTTACGAATCATTGCATTATGATGAGGATCCCAAGCAAACTTTTCTTTTGTTATGATAATTCTGAAAATGTTATAATTGCTGTTTCTATGAAATATTAGACATTAGTTGGCCAATATTGGCTTATCATAACTGTGGTTATGGTAGATAGTGGGTTCTGGGTGTGACAAGAAACTACATCCGGCAGCAAGGCTTCTGATCGGCAGAATGGAGTTTTTGAGGAGCGTGAAACTAATTTTTAGATGCTGCTGTTCACAGGTCCACCCTGACCCGGAGTGGTAGCACCAGTTAGGGTCCTGACTATGGGAAAATAGTGAACCTCCCCCCCCCCAAAAAAAAATCAACAATACATTTTATAATAAAATGACTAACAATACATATTTATAGCAAAATGAAAATCCATGCAACACTAACAAAATTTAAAAATACATTTTTATAGTAAAATTACGAAAAATACATTTTATGATCTCCGAACTATATATCTGATAAACATACCTTTACTCTGAAAGCATAAAATTACGTACAAAATATTTAGATTTCGGCATTAAATTACCTATAGAGGTTGATATGTGTCCAAACAAAAACATCCAAACTAAACCAAAATATATAGATTTCGGCATTAATTAACCCATAGAGGTGTTGATATGCCGCTAAACAAAATGAGTCAACCAACTAGATATGGGTGAGTGGTTTACGCAGGTGCTCACTAATTATGTTATATATTTTCTACCGTAGGTTAAGTGAGAGAAAATTTCCTCAATACTAAAGATTTTTATGCGCGCGGGCGATAATCCTGTGTCTTTTGTTCTCCCATTCTCCATGCTCGTTAAGTAGGTTTAGCTCTGTTTCCTCGTGTCTTTGATGTTTCTTGCGAGTGTCAGTTTTTCCAGGTCTTCTTTTCTCATTATATTTTAAATATTTAAATTTTCTCTTTCTGACTTTATATATAATTGTTCTTTTTGTTACAATTTTCCTTAAAACTTCCTCGTTTCTTCTCAGTATTGTAGATATTTCCAAAAATCTTGTCTGGATGCTTCCAATTCTACCTCTGATTTCTAGTTCCTCCAACATATTTTCTAGGCTCTTCCCAGTACTCTGATAACAATTGGCTCGACTGTTATTGCAAGTATTACTAATATTTTCGTTATGCAATAAATTCAACCTTGTTGCTTCTAACATTTTACTATTATTCTTATTCAGACCACAGTTTTAAGTGTTTATTACTCCTCGATACTCTCTCCCACTCATTCTCACTCACTCACTTTCTCTTTCACTCACTCCCACTCTCATTGTCTCTTTCACCCTCTCTTTTTCACTGTCACTCTCCCACTCTCTTTCACTCTCACTTTCTCAGTCACTTCCATTCTCTCTCTCTCTCTCTCTCTCTCTCTCTCTACTTTGACTGATAGTCTATCGATTTCCTCACTGTCTGGAAACTATGTTATTAGTACTTCTGAAAACGTCGTTAATGATCAGTTTCGTGGCTATTAGTGTTGATGTAACACCTGAAATAAAAGACATACCATCAACTGCCACAATATTCAGTCTTTTTCAGATTGTGTCCTCTTGGGAGGCGGCGGGGCTCAGCCATAACAAAAATAAAAGAGATATTTTATTTGAACCATTGTCGTCGTCATCGTCGTAGTAGTAGACAAAATGAAAATCTGCACACACGTCAACAAAAAAAATAATAATTATTCAAATGTGGTCTGTTGTCTTCATCTTTGTTGTTGTTATTACAACATTTTGGTCGTCGGACCCTCCGACCTTCATCAAGCTCTTATTGATTCAGGGAATTTCCAACTGAACTTTTTATTCTCATTCCACTGGCAATGACTAGGGATATCTCATTAGGTTCTTATTTAGTACTGGTCAGTCCAGGGATTGAAACCACAATTACCTAACGTGCCTAAATTCACGAACCAACGCTTTCATCTAAAGGAAACGAGAATAATCTAATCCCGTAGATTAAATAACGCATTCAGTTCGAAATTCCCTCAAGGTTAGCTGGATCGATTTACACCTGATGAAAGAAAGCCGGAGAACACAATGGCCGAAACATTGTGATGATAAAAATGAGGATATTATTAAATGTAAATATAGATAACTCCTCATTATCGAAATTCAGACAGAAAAAAAAACACAAATCAAATAACAACAGAAAACGCACGCACTTTATTTAGCGAGCTTTTCACCATTGTCATTAAATATGAAAGAAGATATCATTTTGAAAAGCCGTTGAAGGAAAAAGTCATAAACAAAGCAAAGAAAATTACATTTTTAAATTAATAATCGCTTACAATCACATTGAACTTTTTGTCCAGCATAATCTCTTCTATGTTTTAGGCATACGGCCACATCACTTTGAACCACCGGTTCTCGTACGATCACTGTTAAGTTAAGTAACGTCGGTCCTGGTCAGTACCTAATTGGGTGACCGCTTGCGTGCTGTTCGTTTGGTATGATGGCTTGGAATCGTTAAACGGAGAGTGGAGTTTCAATTCCAGTCGAGTTTTCGCTATATTCATTTACGTACTTGGGAAAAGGTATGAATCCGCCTTTTCTCTCCCAGCTTTGAGTTAATTAGTGAAACTTATATCGCTAAATCATCATTATAGCCCCAACAAGCAAAGAAATTCTTAGTATTTCAAAATATTTTGGGCAAAAAGTTGATAAACTGTAGAAAAAGAATCAATATTTTTCATTTTATTTTCATCTTTTAATCTTCCTTGATTTTTTTTTTTTTAGAATTACGTATTTTAATCTTTGATATTGAATAACATAAACTGGTGTGTGTGTGTGTGTGTGTGTGTGTGTGTGAGAGAGAGAGAGAGAGAGAGAGAGAGAGAGAGAGAGAGAGAGAGAGACTGTCAAATTGACGACCGAAAAATAAGTGGTTCCGTTAAGAGGGCTAGCAAGATAGATACATTATAGTCATTTACTTTAGCGGGAAAAAAAACTTATCAAATTAAAACCAGACGACACAACTCCAACTGTTCAGTTTTTCTTTTGTGACCTGTTTTTGTAAATTCGAATAGAAATCAATCATCCATTTATACGAGGATTCGAGGGACTTTTGCTGCTGCTGCTGCTGCTGATGATGATGATGATGATAATGATGATGATGGTGATGGTGCTTGAGAATCCAGACAGACTAGAACAAATAGAACAAAGCAGGGTGTAACACAATAAAGTAAGGGCTAAATCAGATCTTACAAGTGAAATGGGGGGTGGCAATCAGAGGTTACAAGTGGGGAGATAAATCTGAGGTTAAAAGCGGACTAAGTCAAATGTTATAATTGGGGTGTCAAATCAGACGTCGACAGGTTGAGCTAAACCAGATGCTACAAGTGGGGCGTAAATCAGATGTTACAAATGAGTGAATTAAAAAGCGCAGGAGTAAATCAAGTACTACAAGCGACGGGGTACTACAAGCGACGGGGTACTACAAGCGACGGGGTACTACAAGCGACGGGGTACTACAAGCGACGGGGTACTAAATCGCAAGTTAAGTCTTCAAGTTTTTCTCTGATTTTATATTTTTATCTGATCCTTACATAAACTAATGATTTTTACATCCTATCCATATATTTTTTATATATCCATTTTTTTTAAGTACACAACTTTGCGAGAGATTTATTTACGCATATAAAACTTTCCGCATAAAACAAAAAAAAGTTTTAGAAGCTAATGTTTCAAGGAAAAATGATGATAATGAAGTTTTTTGGTTTATTTTGAAAATTAATAGTAGAGATGATTTTACACGGCATATTGTCGTCATCATAATCAATTTAGGGAAGAAGACCAAATGAATTTTCTATGGAGTTCCCAATTTCAGTCAAAAGCCCCGCCCCCGACATAATGCCATGGACACAGAGGCACGGCAATAAATCCACACGACTAAACCAAAAATTCACAATTGCAGAAGGTTTAATTCTAAAAACACATCAACACTAATGTAAATGATCGTCTGTCAAGAAAACCCTATGAAACTTTTATTTATTTTGCTACACACCTAAAATAGTGTACCAATACGTTTCAGATGGCAGGGGTCTGAGGCGGGGGTACCTGATGTGATGCCAGGTGTTTGTGATTAGGTCAATCAGATACACTACCATAGCGAGAGTAAAAAAAAAAAAGAACTGAAAGACGGGTACGGTTTTTTTCTTTGTCTATTTTTTTTTTAACTTGAAGACATTGAAGTGTCCGACTAGCTAGAAAGTGTGCTTAAACCGATAGTTTGATAGAGATTTTTTTTTAATGTTCTTAACAACAACAACAACAACAATAATAATAATAATAACAATAATAATAATAATAATAATAATCGTTTAAAAAAGAAAGCAACACCTTGTTTGTTACATTTCAAACAATTAAATGATTTGTTTGAAAGAAACTGAGCGTAGCCGACTTCAGGTAAAGAACTGGCCTGGCTTCGTGTAAGCTTCTGATAAACTGGTTGAGTTGAATTGAAAGAATCTTTTAAAAAAAAGAATAAGATATAAAAAGCAATGAATTAATAATTACTTTTCAAATTGTTCCACTGCTCCAGATAAAGAATCCAAAACTATTATTGTTGCTTATTGTTTACAACAGGCACTTCGCACTAAAACCCCTGCAGAAGGCATGAATCCATATTCCATATATATCCAGAGGGAAGATTGGGCTCTCGTGTCTCGGTTGGCAGGCAATCCAGGAGAAAGCTGAATTCAATCCCTCATAAAAAATAAAACAAAGTAAACTCTCCAGCCTTGAGTGGCAACCAGTCTTGGAGAAAGAATTGTGAATTCGAAACCAGCCTGAAGAGGGATCGAAACACAACCAATATTCTTGCGGGTGTAGTGGTACCCTAATGACTGTCTAATTAGGTTACGAGACTTGTGATAGTGGAGGTTATTCGTTTTTGTTTTTTCTTTCCTTTTAATTCGCAGTATTTAAATTTTTAAAAAAAGTTGCAATCCAAAAAAATGCAATTAGGTGCCATTTTTTTAATTTAAATTTTATTTTAAAATTTATTATTTTAAATACCTTGCTAGTTCAAAGTACTTGGACCCTTTTTTAACATGGCTAAAAAAAATAATGCTGATGAACTTCCCTTTTATTAAAACTACTTGAGTTAAAAAAATATATAACCTTTTTGATTTGACTAAATGCATGTTTCTCATCCCTTCTTAGCGTTCACCCACTTATAATTCAAATTATGCATCTGTCTGCTTACAAGTACTTATAAGTTAATATTAATAATATGCACCAAGTATCAATATTGTCCAATTACTGTTAAAAACAATAGATCGCATTTACAACACAAAAGAATTGAGTTTTTAAGAGCGAACAACATCGACGTCATTGCTACACAACTATTTTTTTACACACGAAAAGCGGTGAAAGGACAATAACCAGAAAAATGCATGTCACACTTTCACTTGCAGCTAAGAAGTCTTTCAATGGGATTTGTTGAGTTTTATTAAAACAAAAAACAGGCGAATCGCAACGTACCGTTTTAAAAAGTAAAGAAGCTAGAAACAAAAACAAAAGTAGCATTTGGTTGATGTGTCTATATTTCTTTGCTGGTACTTTTTTTACCGTCTCGACACACAAAGAAGGACAACAACTACAAAATCTCCTACTACTACACTACAGTTGTTGGCGCTGATCAGCAGTAAGAGAAACAAAAAAAGTATCAATCATAGGAGAGTGAAAACACCTTCGTTCGGTCAGCAAAACAGTGTCATACTATAAATGAACTCTACACCCTGAAAGCTTTCGAACGCTTTTTAAAACCTTCAAATCACGCACAGTAGACACACAAAAAATTAATTACATATTGCTCGAAAAGGGCACCAAATTCACATCTATATGCATATATGCGGTACGTGTAGGCCAGGCTCAAAAATTTCTTTTTAAAACCAGGCCTTTTTTTAAGAGAATACACATGTCATGAGGTAAGAAATAATTTTTCTATAAAAATTAAAAATTCATTTATTTTTTATTATTCATCCGCACGATCACTATGTCATTTCAATGCACGCACACACAAATACACACACACATACACACATATTCGTCATCTTTGCGCATGAAATGTCCATGTCTTTCAATTATTTTCCAATTTTCGCAATGTTGTCAAATTAATAATGCCTTTAAAAAAAACTTAGAATTCTCTAAGTAGTATTTGATAGAGAGACTTATAATTGGTTCCATCTATTTTTATATCTTCTGATTTCTACTAGCTGTAGGTAGACAAAACACAATTACATACATTCGCCCCTACGTAAATTTTGCAGAGGCATTCTTAGAAAAACAAAAAAATCAAACAACAACACTTACTGTCCAATAATATGCCCCCACCTTTTCTTTTATGATTATAAAAGATTGCCTCATCTTTTTATTTATTTTTTTTTTTATTTTCGGCTTGAAATAATCATCGCCCGATTCGTATGTGCAAAATAAGAGATGTTTTAAAAACCTCTTTTTAGTGTAGAGACAACACAACAGAAAACATGTCTAAAATCTAAATTAGACATTTTCGCCGAAGATATATTTTCTTTTCATTCGGATATTAGTAATAGAATCACTTTATCGAGAAAAACAAAACCAAAAAGCCATAAACGTTCAGTTAATATTAATAATAATAGCAATTCTGTTTTCTTTTCTTTCCTTTCCTGTAGATTTCCAGCGAAAAATGCATTCCATTTCTCTCCTCGTCTTCTTACTGCTCCACGCAGCAACTCAATAGAAAGCACTTCTTAAATTCTTCCTTATGTCGCCTCTTGCGGGAGATACGTAATTTGTCGGAGCAGTATCTTAGTTAAAATCAAAAATGTCATTTGTGATTTGATTTTTTATCCACACACCTTTTCTTGTCTACTGTGTAGGGTTTTCCCGTTTTGATTTTAAAACTCAACAATTTTTTCCGTGAATAACAACAATGAATATTACTCAACTGGCAAATTCAAGCAAGCAAGAGAAGTCCGCTTCAAAGGTCTACACATATCGAACCCTTCCAGTGAAGAAACAAACATTATTATTATATGATTCATATTGAATATTATTGATTGTTTTTTTGTGTGTGTGTTCTCTTACTTCAACAAATCTATCATCCCAACAACATTGTTTCTCTCAATGTCATTTATTTGTGGAGACATCATCAACAAAATAGCATCTTTACACAGTGGATAAAAAAAATAAACTTTCTAAGATCACTATTATTTTTATTTTCACTATTGCACTTCGCTCGCTACGAATCAGGCGGAATAATAAAAATAATATACCTTGGGATGGGTGGGGGTTTTCATCATGATGATGGATATATTTATATATATATATATATATATATATATATATATATATATATATATATATATATATCACCCCAGTGTCATTTTGTTGGCGTGTTAAACTCCCACTCAATAATAATATTAAAATAATTGTACTTTTTAGTGACTATCTTTCATTGGGGATCAAGTGCCTTAGCACGATTTCAAAATTCTTCACAGGACTCTCCGCTGTATTAGTTTGTTTTTTGTTTTTTTGTTTGTTTGTTTTTGTTTTTGTCTTTGCATGCTTCGCTTCTGGTGGTCATCGCTGGCGATTGAGTGACAAGTCTACGCAAACAATCACCAACGCATAAAAAGTTAATTCATATCAACTTTTATGCCAGTAGCAATAGGAAACATTTAAAAATTAATGGAGACTAAGTAACAGCAAGTCTCCCCAATCACACTCCATCATCATCATCATCATCATCATCATCATCATCATCATCATCATCATCATTTCCACCTTATTGTCAAATGTCAATCAATATCCTTACGATTTTCGGATTTTTTTTCTATTTGCGTGTCCCATGTGTAATCTGAATTTTTTTTATCCCCCATTTCTCCCTCCCACCCTGAATAAGGTTTGTGGGTGAACAATGAACATTCATACATTTATTGTTTTTCTTGCATAATTTTTCTCACTTTGTTTTTTTTTAAATAAAAATTCTATTTGCTATGTTTCCATGGGCGGTACACATCATTTCTTATCGGTTTTGTCCGCATCTTTTGAATAATGCAAATGTTTTTGTTCACTTACTTATCTAATTCACGTACAGGTGTTTCGCTCTATTCATTCATCTATCTATCTATCTATCTATCTATCTATCTATCTATCTATCTATCTATCTATCTATCTCAGTCTGTTCATTCATATCAGTTTGTTCACATTATCTATGTATTTTTTTCATTATCTCTACTGTATTCTCTATCTATCTCAGTCTGTTCATCTATCGTAATCTATTCATTATCTAAGTCGAATCATTGTCTCTCTCTCTTTCTCTCTATCTATCTATCTTCCCATCTGCGTGTTTATTTCTTCATTTTTATACTCCTATCCACTCCACAGCTACTCGATTTTGTTGTCCAACGAATAGATCTCTTTCTCTCTCTCTCTTTCTCCCCCCCCCATGTCTGTCCTTCTACCGGTCACTTGTCATTCTTGTCTGTTTCACCATTCTCCACTGAAATGATTGTTTTTCATCAACATATTTTATTGCACATATTCTCTCCTTATTAACCACATCTATCGATAATTTAGTTATTTATTAGTAATAGTTGATAATAAAAGAAAACTGCGAAAAGAAAAAGCTGCCTAGGTCAAGCGACCATAAATCCCATTCACACGTGTTTAAAAAAAACGGAATTCATTTTCATTTCACAATCTATTTTATTTTTTTTTTTTTGCTGGACAAAATATTTTTTCCTTTATTTGTTAAGCATTTTTCTGCTTTTCTCTTTCATTCATTTTACCATGCCCTCCACACACTTCTTAAATGTCTTCTTTTTCACACCCGCCTAAAAATCTGTCATTCATTTACATCCGTTTTTCTTCTTTTGTTTTCTTCGTCTTTTCTTCGCTCGTTAGAAGAATTCGTAGCACTGCAAAGGAAGTTCATCTTCATTTGGAGCATTCTGCAGAATGGAGAAAGAGGTTTAAAAAGAAAATAAAAATTGAACATCCAGCCCACTTTGAGAGAGAGAAAAAAAGCTTCAGTACATTTTTTTAGGATATAATCATCACGTGATCAAACACATTATTAAATGCTGCATTTATCAAATGAGCAAATAAGATTACGCGCTCAAAGTGTATTTTACCGTGTTTTCTGTTTAAAAAAAAAACTTTAACATGCTGTCTTTTTTACGACCCCCAAGAAGGCCTTTTCAGATAAACAGTAATGTCTTTGTGTTGCGAAATGAACATTAAAAAACACATTTAAAAAAAACAAACTCCGAGCTCAACCAACTCAAACACAATTTAAAAATATAAAAAAAGTTTAAGGTTATTTTTTTTAACATGTAATAAATTTTTTGACGTTCTTATTGACATAAAATTTTTTGAATATTTCTATAAAAAAAAAAAAAAAAAATCCTCCTTTTTACTTTTTTTTTTTTTTGAAGCGAAAAAAATCGATATATTTTTAGTCAGGTCATTATTATTTGATATGAGACGAATGAGTGATGTCATCTCAGATTTCTTGCTGCTCTTTCGTTCGTTGGAGACCTTTTTCTATTTTATAATTTTATTCATTTTTGATTTTCATTGGAGTAATAATCTTTAAATTTCAATTCTTTACTTTCAATTCCGAGATGGGGTTCCTTCTTCATACCAATGTTTTATTTACGATTTAATTTCTTTAAGGAAACAAAAGAAGGCAAACCTTGGATCATGTGTCTGTCTGTCTGTCTGTCTGTCTGTCTGTCTGTCTCTCTCTCTCTCTCTCTATCTATCTATGTCTATCTCTCTCACTCTGCATACGTTTCGTTTGGTCTATCAAATTTTAGATACCTTGTTAAATGCTGCGTTACTTCTGTTAAGAAATTTGGACCGAAATAAGCATTTCAACTTTTAAATTTAAGATCTGACCTAAATTGATTGTTTTTACGGATTATCAACCTTTTTTTGCAGGTTATTTAAAGTCAAAAAATATTTTGAGATTGTAAGAATTTTTTTGAGATAATAATGATTAGCCTACTAATTAACACACAGCTGGAGGAAAAAGAAAGGGATTTACCATTCCCAAGGATATTTGAGCATAAGTCAATATAATAAACCCGACTGGAATTGGAACTTGGCTCTCCAATTTCGAATTCCGAGCCGTTATCCATTACACCACCCACACACCCAGGCTTACAGCACCTGGTATTCTTAAGTGGTCACCCATAAAATATGACCTACAATGAAATTAAAACTTTGATCTAAAACACAAACAGAAAAAGACATTTTACTGCACTAAAAATGGTACATTTACCTAAAAGAGTTGACTTTAACTTGTATTTTAATTTTTTTATTCTCATAAAATATTTGTAAATATATGTGCATACATTTTTATATATAAATACAAACATTTTTCAAATTTTGTCAATAATCTTTTACTAAACTTATATTTAAAGCATTTTTCAAGAATATATATATATATATATATATATATATATATATATATATGGTGAATTTAGAGTTGTTTTGCTTATGATTTTTACTATAGTGTCTACTATGTCTCCTTTGTAGATTCCAGTGGCAAATTTTTAATTGAAGCTGAAGACTTTTCATTCTGTATTGGAAAGTTTTATAGGGCCTGTAATAATTGTCATATATATATATATATATATATATATATATATATATGTGTGTGTGTGTGTGTGTGTGTGTGTGTGTGTGTGTGTGCGTGTGTGTGTATGTAATTGTTCAAAGGCTAATTTTTTATCTTTTAAAACTTTTTTGAATAGTTAATAGTCAATATTAAATAGGCTTTTTGCATTTGTTTTATTTAATAAATATGAAATTTATTAGTATTTATCTTATTGATCTCTTTATAAGTAATAAGTTGTTTATTTAATAAAGTAAAAATCTAATGAAAAGTTTTGTTTGATGTTTTATGTCCAATGAAGAAAACGAGAAAATAGGGTTAACTATCAATTGCAAGAAGATAGAGCATATGGTCATCAGCAAGAGAAAAAGCCGAATGATGCAAGTACAAATTGGCGATATAACCATCAAACAGGTGCAGAAGTTTAAATATGAGGGAATAATTTTAACAGAGGATGAGAAATGCAACACTGAGATCCAAATATCCATTAGACTCTAGTGAAAGAAGCATTTGAAAAGCTAAGCATGGTGCAGAAATATGGAAGAATTTCATTAGAAACAAAGAAAAGGTGGACTGGATTGCTATGTGATATCCATCTGATTATATGGCTGTGAATGTAAGACAATCACCCTATAGATAGGGGGTAAACTGGAGGCAGCAGAAATATGGTTCTACAGGAGGATACTGAGAATTCCATGGACAGAGGAAGTAAGCAATATGGAAGACCTAATGAAAATGGCAATTGAAAGAACACATACTCAGAATGAAGAAAAATCAGCTGAAGTTCCTTATACCCATAACAAGAAAGGAAGGCTTGGAAAACTTAACCCTCATGGAGCATATTAAGGGTAAGAGAGATAGAGAAAGGCAGCAAGCCATTTACCTAATGAGCTCATGTAAATAGATGGCAGAACAGAGGGCATAACTGCAAAAAGATTTACTTTCATTTTGCTATTTGATAACAAAGAGTGAAGACCAAAATGCCAAACACTGTCAAATTCTTTCAGAATATTCAAAGCAAGAGCCCGGGCTTCACCATTTTTACCTAAAACTTGATAGACTCATTTGGCAATAATCATTAATACATCAACAGTTGACCAAGAGAAATGAAATCCATATTGCTTGTCTGAAAGAAGACCTTGCGAGGTGAGATGTTTTCTCAATTCAGACTTGATTAGGGCCTCCAGTAGTTTGCCAAAAAGTGGTAGAACGCTAATAGGATGGGAGTTAGAAGGATCAGACAGTTTGCCTCAGTTCTTAAAGACTGGAACTATAACACACACATATATATATATATATATATATATATATATATATATATATGTGTGTGTGTGTGTAAGACAAAACATAAACTTATCCTCTGAGGGACACTATCAAGGCAAATGTAAGGATTTTATTTTATGACAAGTATTTATATACAAGAGCAAAAATGTTATTGTTTTTCAAAGTTTTTAGGTATAGGAGTGCTCATGAATATTCATCAGGTTAAGAGAAAAGTCAGGCAAGTTTATGGTGGACATGAGGTGATATAATTTAATGTATAATAAATCAAAGTGAGTAGATGATTTTTTTATATATATATATATATATATATATATATATATATATATATATATATATATTGTCAGAATGGAGTAATGGATAGCAGTTTGTATGGCAGAATTGAAGAGCTGAGTTTGAATTCCAGTCAAATTCATTACATTTATTACATGCAAATAACCTTGGGAAAGGTATGAATACATCTCTTATCCCAAAGGTATGGGTAAATAGCATGGCAGACTAGGTCCTATAGCCTTGGATGGCAATAATAGTAGTCTGGCTGAGTTGCTGTACTCTCATGCATCAAAAACAACAAGTATATATATATATATATATATATATATATGTATGTGTGTGTGTGTGTGATGGGTTGGTCTCATGTTTTGAGAGGGTTTCTCACCTCTGTTATAGGAATTCTGATAAGTATTGATGTCAAATATATTTTTCTGATACATTTTGACATAATTTTCTTACACATAAATTGAAGAACTGGGACGGATTCTACACTGTCTGTTAAAAAAAACACTTTTCTTTTCACTTGTTTTTCTTTCATTCTGCAACATTCTGATAAATCATGAACATCACATGTCAACTCCCAAGTGGATGTTTCCCCAGTCACTACAGTCTTAACCTGTGCAAGTCTGAAGTTAACCATTATCTTTCCTTCTTATCCATATAAACTACCCCTTAATTTAACCCTCTACCTTGAGTGGCCCCCAGGCCTTGTACAAAGCAAACCTCACTGTAAAATAAATAAAAAAAAATCAAACAAAGAATTTGACAGACCAATGTGCCTGAAGAATTAAAAGATTCCAAAAGATAAAATGGAAAAACCAACAAAGCTTTTGTCACAACCTCTTCATATGATACTAAACCAGCTAATGCCATCACTGACTTGAACATTTCTATTAAGGCTACCTCCATATCATTCTCATTATGCAGGATAACAACATCAAAATTTTTTTTTCTATTTATTAAGCATCACCCAATATCAAGAGCCACTTAAGGTAGCTGGTTACTGCATGAGGTGAGTGATATCAATGAAGTATCAGGAAGTATACCAGGAAGTAAAACAAAGTGAGGATTATGAGGATAAGAGGGACAAATAACAATTGAGCCTTGACTTGAAGAGTTTCAGATTGTAGTTTCCAGAGAAAGCACCCACAAAGTAGCAGTTCTTGGAAAAAAGCTGTCTGATTGGAACTTACTTCTTAAAATTGGAACATGAAGGAAAATGTGAGGGATTCGACTTTGTGGTTTGACCTGATGAGACTAAAAAGTGGATCTTATCTGGACATTGACCAAGGAAGTAGCAATAAGCTTTCAACTTTGCATCTGTGGGGAAAGAGTCTGTATAGTGGAAAATAAGTTATCTGCTACAAAACAGATTAAAGGATTTTGAACTCAATCAAGGCTAGAAAGTGAAGATTGAGCAACTCCAGCTTGGACATGGCAGCAATGCTCCATTTTTTTTATTTTTTACAGTAAGGTTCACCCTGTAAAGGCTCAAGGACCACTCAAAGTAGCAGGTTACATTAATGAGTAATTTATATGGATAAGTGGGGAAGAGGTTAAGATTGTAGTAATTGGGGAAACATCCTCCATGGAGTCTGTCCCACAGGGCAGTAGTTCACGGGAAGAAGCTGTTTGAATGGAACTTACTTCTTGGAATACGGAGGGAATATGGGTGGGGTTTGCTAAGTAGTAAGTAGCATGGAAGGTCCTAGCCATAATTATGACTGTAGAATTTGACCAGCAAAAGTTCTTTAATTTGCTCAAAACTTTTAGTGGGAAGGAAAGTTTAATGTATCTTGTAAAGATAAAGCTCATGGCAATGAAATGATAGAATGAGACAATCCTTTTTCCTGCACCTGTAGCAATGGATTGACTATACAGGTTACATTTAAGATCTGAAGTGAAGTTGAGTCACAATAGATGTTCAAAGTAGAAGGCCCATTGAGAGGAGTGGGGGACACTGTTGTGATTGGAGAGAACTGAGGAATTGATTGTCGATGAGGAAAGTGACAAGACATTTTTCCCCCCAAGTTATCAAGCTTGAAAAATTATAAGCATAATCTTGTTCTGCAAGATATGTCACATGATGTTGGCACATGATCTGGTTGGGTCATATAACAAGAAATGAAAATTATACTTCTGTTTTACAATTCATTGGACTGTCCCAAGTTCAACCAGACAAAGGAACATTGCAGAAGAGATAAAAGTCTTCACGTTCATGTCTCACTGACCCCACAGATAACAGATACTTCTAGTCACTGTCCCTTTCCACCAAAACCAGCACCATAAAAAGTATTAGTCTTATTAGCCATAAATGGGTTTCCAACAGAAGAGGAACACCCTCAAGAAATCCTCAGATGAAAAGATAAAGCTGACATTTAGTCTGTCAAACAAACACACACAGATATATATATATATATATATATATATATATATATATATATATATATATATATATTTACTCCTTTATTTTTCATATTATTTTTTAATGCTATTATTGTTCACCCAATGCAAAGTCCGAGAGCCACTCAAGCTAGAGGTTACTGAATGAGGTGTTTCTATAGATGTTAGAATTGTAAATGATGAGGATATGTCACATAGATAACAGTTGACTCTGGACTT